GAGGCGCCAGAGATGGTCTCTTCTGAATGGATCTCATCTCCTAGTTGCACATGTTGCTACACTGGCTCACCCAAGAGTGTAACTCACATATGATCAGTTACCTCCTCAAAGTCCCACCTATAACCTATGACCTATTACCCCACAAGGCATTAGAGGAGCATTTACACATAAACTGTCCCAGGAGGCTTTAAGATGAGTGAGGAAGGGAGATTTCTATGTCTCCTGGGGGGCTAATCCTAAGTACCAAAGATCAAGTGCTAGAGTCATTTAAGAAAGGTATGTAAGGTAAATATACAGAGAAACATGTCATAGTGTTTCTATTTAATAATAAATTAATCTGCATTAAATAGCTAACCAAACAAATGATGAAATGCATACTATCATTCTAATTTGAAAAAAATAAGAAAAATTGACCATGTTTTGATCAACCCTGCACTAGAAAATAGAGAAAATTTTGTGCCTCGTATCCTATACTCAAAAGTCTACTGTTTTTCCTAACACTTATGATACCTAGATTTTATAGATATAATAACAGCTTTAAGAAACGAAAAATAAATTTAATGATAATGCATTTTGGAATTATTTTGTCCTACTTGTCTTGGTCATTCCATTAGTATAGATTTTGGCATATATTAGATTTCAGTAGTTTATTTATCAAATTAATAACAAATATCTAACAGAAGACTTGGAATTGCTTAATACCTTTGGAATGCCAGGCATATCTATTTACATATCAGGTGTATCTATTTATTAATTTTAGTATCTACAAACACATTAAATTCTGCTGAATGGCATTCAGTAGTAGAGAAATTATATGTAATATACATATACATTTGTAGAATAAATCTATCACAAACATGTATTCATTAAACTTTTAATATAAAGGACTTTATTACATCCTAGCTCATGAGTTAAAAACTGTACTAGACTACCTTTTTAGTTTTTTTGAAGCTTGTAAATTCTGCAGGAATGATAGTGAGGTTAAGAATACCACTGAAGTAATTGGTAGAAAATTTCACATCAACACAAAAGGTGAATAAGTGTCAAAGCTTTCAAAATTTGAAAAATTAGTTCAAGAAAGGTTGCAATATCCAATTAGAACTCATGGTTAGTCTTCTCCCTCAGCATCCTGAAATTTTACCAGAATAGATAAGGAAAAGTAGCAAAGGAAAGAACAAAAAGAGTAAAGGGGTATTCATAAATATAGCAAATTGGACGTGAAATAAAAACAATTTCCAATTTGCGCTGCTAGAAGTTTAGAACAGATTACTAATAATGATGTGGAAGGGTTCATGAATGCTTGGTGACAGAACTAGGGCTTGTTAACTCTCAAAGTTTCCCATAGTACAACTGTCCTTCTTAGGCAGGCTTTCTCTCATGGTACTGGACCTTCTTCAGGGTCAGGGAGGATTTCTATCACTTAAGGAACATTGCAGCTTGGTTAGACCACAAATGACACTGGAAAATCCCAAACTACTTCATTATACACTATGCCTTCTCCTCTAAAGAAGTTTTTATGAGAGCCCCTGCTTAGCAGAGAGCTAGGCAGATGGCCAAGCAAGGCTCAGCCCACAGCCCTAGGTGGACAGCAGCAACTTCCTCACCTGCTAGGTTAACCATCCTGAAAGAAGTACTCAGTGATAAAGGAAGTAATGAGATGATGCTACTCAAAGACAAGATCTGATGTGCCCTGAACTGCTGCCCAAAATCACTGTTCCGTGGGAAAAAATTAAATGGTTACAGTTTAAAGCCACTAAGTTTGGTAGATTGCTACAAAATGTAGTCAAATAAAATTCTAGAATTGCAAATAAAATTATCACTTTCTCTATTTTAATAATAAAATATTCTTCAATGAATGAGTGCATATATGTCATTTTTATTGAACTATGCAAAACTAAAATCATGTTTCATAGAATGTTAAGCAGTGATTGAATCTTTTGAAAATGACGATGAAGAGCAAAGATGGGTTATCTTAAAATCTTAGCAAAACAATAAATTTAGAAACATAGTTTTAAAGGTTGGCACAAATATTCTTGTAGAGGCAACCATTCACTGATCTCCACTTGAAAACCTCGTTTTTAAATAATACCAGCAAGAATGCTTCATGCCTAGAGTCCCTTCTTATTTCACATAGGACCCGGTACATGAGGAATTTATTGAGTGGAGGTCAACGGTCTTATGTTATAATCACTAATATATCCCACTGGAACCTTTTTGCCAACTGAAAACTGAGTGACTTATCCTTAGACTAGTTCTTCCTCAGGTACTAATAATCAAAATATAAAAATTACAGTTCAGCAGCGTAGAGGGTGAACCACAGGCACCCCAACCTATACAGCATCCACTTGCTGAAGTAATCTCTAACTAAACCCAACTGTGAAAAATGCACCCACTCACTGTACATAAAGCTGGACCTTAAATATATGGTATATTATTTATTTTCTTAAGCATGAAATAAATTTGGGGTTTTAAGATTATTTATCCATTTATTAGCTGTGTGATCATGAGAAGTTATATAGTCTCTTCTTTTCTGAACTCATCTGTGAAGTGGTGTCAGTGTCACCTCTTCCAAAGGACCCTTGCATCCCGCCTGGCAGCACAGGCCTACAATCCCGGTACTCTGGCATAGTGAGGCAGCAGGGCTGGGAGGTGAAGTCCAGCCTGTGTGATTGAGAGGTTTAAGAGTCGCTGTCTCAAAGTAAACACTGAAAATTTCAAAAATTAAAAAAATAAAGTACTAGGGATCTAGTTAGGGGAGACAGACCTTCATTCAATCCCTAGCACTACTAAAACCAAAAACAATAAAAAAAAAATCCTCATGTATATTCAACCAGTTGATACTGTGCAGAGTTCAACAGAACTTCCAGTTCCCAACAAATTGGAGATTCTATACAACAGTTAGTTAGCTGTTATTATGATTTGTTTAGACCCCAAAATGCCTAGTTAGTCATCTGAGAGAAAAGAATGCTTAATGATCTTTGATAAAATTGTCAGTATATTCTGAGTCTTAAATAGCAGCCTCAATCTTACTTAGTTACTGCTTATTTATTTATTTATTTATTTTTATTTATTGGCAGAAGCAGGGATTGAACTCAGGCCCTTGTGCTTTCCAGGCAAGCACTTATTCTACTGAGCCATCTCCCCAGCCCTATTAAGTACTGTTGAGCAGTCATCAGACTGATTCACTTAACTAAATTATTGTGATTACAGATGGCTCTTTTTCTGAGGAACTCATAAATATATTAAGCACTTAATTGAACTAAAAAACATAAATTAACACCAAAGATCTGTGTTTTATCACCTGTCTTCCTCTAACAAAAGAAAGAAAAACTTAAAGATAATTATTGTTAGTGATATTCAACAAAATAAGATCATGACATGAATTTGGGTAATACTGACTGATTTCTCCTATAAGTCCTGATTATCCCTTTTGTCTTCACAATCACATCATTTGGCTCAAAATATGATGTACCATCTACTATCAATGGACATCAGTAGAATTTTAATGATTATTTTCACCCCAGCTTTTTTGGTCCTGCAAATCAACTTAACTAGCTATTGTTAATATTATTAGACACAAAGTAATTATTTAAGATATACTATGACTAATACTTACACATATAACACTCACCAAGAACTTTGAAGGGAATGAAATATTACCCAATTATACATTTAGCAGAATACACTTGTTTTCTTCTTTAAAATCTCAAGATATAGGAAAAACACTGAAAAACCACCTCATATATTTTGAGCAAAAAAATTCAAATATTTTCAAACAAATTCTGACATTGAGAATTATATTGGATACACAAAGCCCTGAGTACTTTCCAGAGAAAACAAAACAAAAAACTAGTGTAGTAGATGAGTCCTAGGAATTTTACTTAGCTGAAACAGAATTTTATATTTTCTTCACTTTTAGGAGAGAAGTTGTTATTTCAGTCCCAGCAGGTATCTGTTTACTTTACAATTCATATTTTTAGGTACACACACTTATCATCTAGGGAGAACCAAGATGTGAAGTCTACACAGAAAAGAATTTATAGCTCTTTTAGACTTTCTTAAAATTCAGAATTGAATGTTGAAAATATGTATTCAAGAGCTAGCGAGATAGTTCAGTGGACTAAGCACCTGCTTAGGCAAGAACACAGACTGGAAGTTGATACCCAGCACCACAGGCCATTCCAGCCCAGGTCCTGGCATGCTGATCTGGCCACCGAGACCAGGCATGGTAGCACACACCTATAATCCCAGCACTGGAGAGGCTGAAAACAGGAAGATCATTATGAGTCTGAGCTGTGTAGTGAGACCCTGTACCACATACATAAAATAAAAAAGAAAAAGAAAAGAAAATATATATTCATTCTTCATCCCTATCTCTTTAAAATGTGTCTTTACAGGAGGGATGTTTGAATTCCGGACTTGTTAGCTCCTAATTCCAAACAGCCAAGTATAATCTCCAATACATCACTGAACTCTAAGTGACAAGTTTACATTGTATCCTCTGATTTTGAAATATATATATTTACATATATATATATGTAAATTTTGGAAAAAGCAGAGCTTAATTCTTGGAGTGTGGGAACAGTTTAACATTTCCCTAATTTTGCTATTATCAATTACAATGACTACCATGTATTGCAGTAGGATCCCATGGAATTTAAAGAAGTTTATGTGAAATGAAAATGACAATCAGGGCCGGCCAAATAGCTCAGCAGATAAAAACGCCTTCAAGCAGGCATAAAGGCCGGGGTTTTGATGCCCGGGCCTGCCGTGCTGGTCCCGCTTCCAAGGCGTGCTGAAATAGCAATTGAGATTGAGTGTAGTGGCGTGTGCCTGTAATCCCAGCACTTGGGAGGCCGTAAAACAGGAGGATCACTATGAGTTTGATCTAGTAGTGAGATCCTGAAAACCTTGTAGACCCTTCCCTAAATTATAGAAGAAAAAAAAAAAAAAAAAAAGAAAAGAAAAGAAAAGAAAGAAAACGACGACAATGTATTTACCGGAGTTCTCAGCTCGGGTATGACAGCTTGATAGGTGAGTGGGCGGCAGTCGCGAGTGTTTGGCACAAGGACACAAGGAAGAAACATTGGGCCCAAGTCATCTCCATCCAGGACGTCCACCGTGAGGGTGGTTGTGGTGGTTCGCCTTTCATTCAGATTCTGAGCACGGTCCTGTAAGAAGCACCGACCAACGCGTGAGGTATAGGTACTAACTACATTGCAGCCCCTCTTCTCTCTCTCTTTTTCTTATTTAAATGATTTATTAGTAACTTGTTCAGACCAAAATTTGAGATCATGAACCTGGAATGTAAGTAAATCCATTTAACCTTCAAATTTGCTGTGCTAGCTGCAGGTTGCAGTAGATAAACCTCCACATGTTAGGCCTTTTACAGTATTACAAGGAATGGCATAAATGTGTCATCTTTGGGAATTTTCTTTATTAAGTCTTTTGAAACAGATTATACAAAAAAAAATCTAAATTTTATTCAATTAATTTACTAGGAAGGCTGATTTAGGAATGAATGGGATATTTTTGTCATCAAAGTTAAGGAGGAAATGCACAATTGCTAAGATTTATACCAGCAAATTGTGCTACTCCAGCATTAATCTTTTGAGGCGCTGCTTGTTGAATATAGGGTCTCTTATGTGTGATGCAGGCGCTGCACCACTGATACACCTCCACAGACCTTTTTTCTTTTCTTTAAAGTATTTAGTACACAGTCTACAGGGTCTCACTACATAGATCGGACTTGCAGTGATCCTCCTGTCCTCAGCCTCACAAGCACTGCACCACCACACCCAGGCTCAGCTGCCATCTCAGCGCACCCCAGTGATCAGGCGGGTACGGAAAGCCAGGGATCAGACCCCGACCCCTGCACCTCCCTAAGCGGGTGCTTTAATCTGCTGGGCTATCTTGCTGGCCCCATAGACCATTTTTTTGTCCGTACAATTTGTAAAAATTTATGTTAAAGAATAAAAAACAAAAAAAAAAACCCAATTTCAAAAGAAGATGATAGGAAAATTAACAATTGTTATATTGCATAATGTTAGCTTTAAAAGTTGTTCAGGTTTGGGGCCGGGGAGATGGCTCAGTGGAATAAGCGCTTCCTTGGCAAGCGCAAGGGCCTGAGTTCAATTCCCGGTTCTAAAAAAAAAGTTGTTCAGGTGACCAGATGTATGCATTCAAAATTGTTGAAATAATTAAGCACTAACTGTTCCTTTCAATAAACCAATAGAATTTAACAGTACAATTAGCTATCTTGTGTACATATCTTTTCCCCCATCCTTCTTTTCTGCTTCCCTCCATCCTAGTTCTTTCCTTTTGAATGGTTTCTTTCCCTTTCACAATATCTGATATACCTTTTGGATCTTCTTTACTCTTTCAGGTTCTTACACTAGGGAAACAATACATTGTTTACACATGCGGTTCTGATACATTCCACTTATGCATACAGTCTCTAGTTGCATCCATTTATCTAACAAAGCCTCAAGTTTATCTTTTTTATAGTTGGACAATATTACAGTGCATAAAAATAGCACATCTGATTTATCAATTCCTCAGCTGATGCTCATTTTAGTTGTTTCCCAGATTTAGCTAAAAATTTCTGAGACAGGATCTTGCTAAGTTATCCAGATTGTTTTAAGCTTTCTGTCCATTCACCTCAGCCTTCCAAGTAGGTGGAATTACAGACATGTGTCTCAACACCCAATTTTTAAAAATTTAAGACAGTTCAATGTATAGAAGAATCAGAACAGTACAGAGAGTTCCTGTGTGATCCAAGGCCTGTGTCCCCTAGTATTAAAAGTCACGTTAGCATGGCACACTTGTTACCCTTATCATCAAGGAGACAAAATCAGTACTGGTAAGATGCCCTCATTGTTTCTCTCTGCTAGATTAAACTCCAAGAGGATGTCTTTCCCACTCCAGACCCTTGCTCTCCCTCCCCCTCTGGTCCTCACATAATCCAGGTGGTGCCACAAAAGCAGTAGCTCTTCACTCTCCCCTCTTCTGAGAGCATGTACTTTGAAATAACAAATTATAGGTGTGGTATTGCATATGTATAATCCTACCACTTGGAAGGCTGAGGCAGGAAGATCATTGCAAGTTAGAGACCAGTCTGGGATACAAAAGGAGCTCAAACCCCTGCTAAACTGCATAAAGAAACCCTGTCTCAAAAAGACAAAAATAAATAAAATAATAAATAAGGGCTGGCCTGATAGCTCAGCAGACTGAAGTGCCTGCTTAGGCAGAGTGCATTGGCCACAGGTTGATCCCCAGAGTGCCATGCTGGCCCCAGACTTGGGGTACACTGAGATGGCAGTTGAGACTGGTCATGGTGGCCCACACCTGTAATCTCAGCGCTTGGGAAGTTGAAAACAGGAGAATCACTATGAGTCTGATCTACATAGTGAGACCCTATAGACCCTGCACTAAATGCAACATAAATAAATAAACCAATAATTTCCTTCTCTGTTCCTTTGAGATGTAAAGCTTTTAACCCATTTATGAAGAAGATTGCAATGTTTGAATTTTGAATGAAATTCTTATGGGGCCAGCGAGATAGCTCAGCAGATTATGTCCCTTAGCCAAACACAGGGACTGGGATTCGATCCCCAGCACCACATACCATGCTGGCCCTGTCCCTGGGTGCACTGAGCCTGTCACCAAGACCAGGCCTGGTGGCACGTGTCTGTAATCCCAGCACTGGAGAGGAGGATCACTATACGCTCGAGCTGCCTAAGGCTACCCTGTACCATATACATATAAAAAAAGAAAACAGAGAAAGAAATTGTCATATAATGTAAAGAAAAATTCAAGGAACAAGAATCTAAAAAGAAGCCAGGCACAGTGGTTCCCGTCCATAATCCCAGCCCTTGAGAGGCTGTTACAGGAGGACTACTGTGAGCTTGGCTCTACAGGGAGCATCGACTCTACAGTGAGTTCAAGGCCAACCTGAGCAAGTGAGACCCTGTCTAAAAGAACAGAACAACACAAAAAAAAAAGTGTTTGAGGAGAAAAAAGATTATGACTGTATGTTCTTCGTATTGCATTGTTCTGGGCTTTCCACAGTGGAACTCTAGCCATTGACAGATTAAAATGCCTTTGTAGCTGAGGCTGGCAGAGTGTGCCTGTAAGCCTAGCAGCTTGGTAGCCCTAGCCAGGAAGATTCCAGGTTCCAGGCAACCCCAAGTGTCTAAACAATCTAGAATTTATCAATACCCAATTTCAAACCTAGGGAGAAAACGGGTGAGGATACAGCTGAACTTGAAAGTGGTGGCTTCAATCCCAGTACTAAGGAGTGGGGTAAGTGGGGTGGGGGACTCTTGTCAGGCTTGGCAGTACAGGGTTGCTTCTTTTCATTGCAGGGTACCAAACATTTAAAATGCAATGGTCAACAGATATGATGTCCCCACCCCATCTCTGCTGGAAAAGTTGGAGCCGAAGGGCTGAAGAGACTTGCTCCAAGTTTTAAAACCATTTGTTAACATGAACCCAGAAGACAATCTACTTTCCCTGGTGTATTTAGGAAACCCAGATACAGGCATGTTGATCCCTCACCTCTACTGTCTTGCCTCCACACACTATCCTCACCTCTCTACAGCTCAGTAGCTCTCTGTCTGGTTTCTCTCCCCTGCTACAATGTTCTCTGACCACTTCTCTTCCCTGTAGAGTTCTCTACCCATTTACCTTCCTCCAGTGCAAATTTGCTGTGACAGTACGTACACTGTCAATAACTAAAATCCTTGTTTAATTTAAATTTTCCTGATGTGTACTTAATTCCTATTTTCTGCTCAAATATTTCAACCAAGATAGCCCATTCTGGGGCTGGGGAGATGGCTCAGTGGAATAAGCACTTTCCTGGCAAGCACAAGGGCCTGAGTTCAATCCCCGTTTCCACAAAAAAAAAAAAAAAAAAAAAAAAAAAAAAAAGAAAGAAAGAAAGAAAGAAAAAGAAGTCTGAGTAGAATAAGTGTTTTCAAGATAGCCCATTCCATTCAGTCATAGTGTCTCTTTAAGCTCCTTTTAGATGCTACAATTTCTCAGATTTACATCTTTCTGATGATCTGGAGAATTGAGCATTAGTCAGATACTTTGCATTGTATTTTTCAATGGAGTTTTGTCTAATATTTTCTCATGTCTATGCCAGGAATATGTGCTTTAGGGGGGAAAACTGTAAAAGTAAAGTGACATTGTCATTTCATTTAGCAACGATACATGTGAGTATTATTAAATGGCTTATCTCTGGTGGCTGTCTTTACCCTATGGCAGGGGTTGTTTATCAGGTTCTGTCAAAGTAAAGCCACTATTTTTTTTTTTGTTTTGTTTCTTTGAGATGAAATTCCAATGAATTCCTAATCAAAACTCAGGAATTGTATAGTAATTTCTTTAGACATTTACATTGTTCATGTTTATCTAAAGAATGTTTAGCAGAAGAACACAAGAAGAAAATGTTCGACCCGAGCCATCTCTACCCACTACGGAGTGAGGGTGCCGGAGGCAGCTTGTTGTCACAATGGCAGAATGTACGAGTGTTTTTACTTTCATAGTACTCAGTTATTATCTTAAAGCACATCTGTCTCTTTAAAATTCTATTCTGCAAAACTCCAAAAATGTAATCACACTTTCATGTATCTTCACAGTACTACATACATAAAAGTCAAAAGGTAACAAAAGCCCAAATAGTCATCGAAAGGGATGATGCCCTTGTACATCCTTCCATAGGATATACCTTTAAAACATCATGCTAAAGTCATATAATGCATGTTTCTGAGACAGGAGCTCACAGTGTGGTATGCTGAGCGAGTGGGCCTGACTTGTCTATTGCAGAGCAAAATCACGGAGTCCAAACCCTCCACCCAGGATTGGTCAGAAAGTGCTGTGTTAGGGTCTTCATTTACAGCTGGTGTGAAACCCAACAGGCTCTTCTTATGAACACCTAGGTGTGAAGTCAAGCGAGGATGTTTAGACACTGAGACCCCACCGCTAATCTTGAGGCCACTGTCACCTTTTCAGGGGCTCACTCTATAACTGCAGGGCATCCTCTTCTCCCACCTTTAATAATGTCACTCCTTGCTGCCTTTTGCATGTCTTGTCCCATTCATTTTTCAAGACACCACAAATATGGAAAGAATTTCTATGGAGCCCCCAAAGCTGGAACCAAGATGATAACGTATGGCTCCGCTAAGAGCCGACTCTCTCCTAACTGCACTTCACAAACGCTGCCTGATGAACCTCTTTTTCAGTGCTCTAAGTGATGCACCCTGAAAATTATTTTTCCTTACCACAGCATCACCTTCATTTTGGGCAACCTTAGAGCCCTTCGGATGACAGTGCTAGCCAGCTCTTTGAGAGGCGACAAACTTGTCTGGAGACTTAAAGTAGTCATGTGCAGCACAGTGAGCATGCTGTTGGTAAAACAGCACAACACACTGCATTATTCACTAAAGTGAATCGTCCACTTTAAAGTTGTTAATTCATCTTATGCTTGTATACACCAGTTAGTATTTTTGAAAACAATTAGGTCAACAGACTAGTCTTTTATGCTGCTCAAAAATGTCTTTTATGTGACCGTTCCCAGACTTGAATACTTACTTCTCAACTACCAATTAAAACAAAGAAACAAAAGAAAAGAAAATTTTCCATATGTTTTGGGCAATAGCTTTCCCAGTTATGCTCTTTCACTATATGGTCGATCCAATGAGGTCATAGAGAAATAATTTAAGGCAAAGATTTAGAATAAGAAATCTCTATTCGTAGGATTTTCCTAAGCACACCCTTATTGCAAATGTAATAACTTTGTACTTCTACTATTTCTTGATCACTTGATACATTATGAGATAGATTATGATTAAATAATGGCAAAAAAGGAATGTTTAAATTTTAATTTTGCGTCTAAACCCCCAAGAGTTGATATAAGGATTATTTCAAATGCAACATAATACAGAGTCAACAGAGGAAAAGGAATCTGTGAGCTTCCTTTATGTCACCAAAAGTAGCTACTTTTGAGAGTAGGGGTGCATGAGCCCTCCCGCAGGGAGTTTTATGGGTACAGAGAAAAAATATAAAAGGCAACTTTCACCTGCAGAAGCAAATGTTATTACAAGTTTTCTTTATCCTCCCTTTCCCCCTGCAAACTGACTTGCTCTTCCTTGGGAGCCTTGTATAGTCACTGTCCTATATCTAATCCCTTTTCATTAGCCATTTTAGAGAGCGACATTCATATGTTACCATAAGCACATGGATATCTTGTTTGTTGAAGGTTTAGCAAGAAAAACAAAATGAAATGTATATTCTAAATTGTAATATAAGAAAAACATAATTATTTTTCTAAATATTGTATGTATAATTTCATTTTGCTTGAGTTTTCATTCAGTTATAAGTGACAGTTCAATGGAAGGTAAAAGCTACTGTTATGGTTTGGGTATATTTGTCCCCCCAAAGCCTCATGCAGTCAATGAGATGAAGCTCTATAGCTTGTGATTAATTCATAATTCAAGGCTGGGATTATGGGTCCGAGTGCTGCTGGGATTGTGGGTGTGAGTGCTACACACAGCCTGGGGCGGAGAGCCTGAATGTAACGTAAGAGAGACAGACTTGCTCTCTGTAGCCATATTTACTGGTACGCCGCCATTTTTCTCTCTGCTCTTGGCCACCACCGTGAAAGGCTGCTCTCTGCTATGTGTCACTCTGCCTGGGAGCCAGCTGAGCATGAACTGAAACCTCCAGTAACTCTGAGCTAAATAAACTTTTCCTTCCCTCATTTTGGGTGTTGAGTATTTATACGAGCAATGAGAGAAGAGTAACTGAAACAACTACTGAGAAAATTTCCTTCTCTCCACTTTCTGAGGTTCCCTCCCAATTTCTTTCTTTGCCTTATCGGAACATAACACTTCAAAAATTTAAGGACAGTAAAGAACAACAGAACTTTACTGTATTACCAAACTAAGACAGGAAATGAAAAACAAGGATCTGTCCTTTTAAAGCTATCATAGTTAAACCACTGCATGAAATAAACTATGTCCCTCCAAAATTCATATGCTGTAGCCCTAACTCCTAGTGTCTCTTGTGACTCAGTAATTCAAGGATAAACATTGCCATGGGGACAGCCCAGCTACAATACTAGTAGTCTTTACAAACTATTATCCTACATAAGTTTAAATATTTATTATTATTTTTATTTATTTATTTATTTATTTTGACTGGCTCAGCTTGCCCTGAGGGTAGGGCTACCAATGGCACACGGTGTCAAATTGAACCACAGTCCCCTGCACCTGCTTAAGCTTGCCTAAGCAGGCGCTTTATACGACTGAGTTATCTCGCCAGCCCAAGTTTAAATATTTAAGCTGCAGTAATATTATGATTAAACACCTCTAATTTGAGGTGGTAACTGAGATTTCACTTCAATTGAAAATTGCTTGCTATAAATCATTCGAGTGCTACCTATTCTTTGATCAAACTGAAAACAAGTGCTAATGTGCATCATTTAGTATTTAGGACCTGCACCACGATTAATAGTGCATTAGACAAATGCTGATTGTGCCTCATGGAGCCAGGAAAAATGTGAACTCCAATCACTAATATGAAATTATATGAAGCCTGATTTTAAAATGAATGTGGGACAGACATGAGGATTTTCTGATTGCTTTTTTTTTTTTTTTTTTTTTTTATGGCAAAGCCATAGAATGCTTGGAATAGACTTCTTGAGTTGAAATATTTAGTACCAAAGTAGCTTGTAGTTTACCAAAATGGCTAGAAGCACCTAACAGACTCATTGGCAGATACATACATTAAATGTTCTTTCATTATCTTATCAGGTACTTGCAGTAGAGAAAGAAAAAATATAACATAATGAGAGTCGCTCTGAGTCTTTAGACACTAAATCACTTACATAAATCCTTGGAAGTGTTTCTCTTGCTTTTCCTAACTAACAAGAGATGGAATATTACTGACGGAAAAATTGAATATTCATCCTACTAACTTCATTCTTTTAATTTCTATATTGCTGGAAAGGAAACAGGAGCAACAAAATTTCCTTAATCTAAATCATTCTAGAAGTGAGGTCTGCTTTATTTTGAAAGTTTTTTTTTTATTTGTTAGAGATGTTTAGTAATTTCTCTCACTTCTTATACATACTAGTTGATGGAATATGATTCTATTTTACTTCTCTTTATTATTCTAATGTTCAAAATACTTTGATTCCTCAAGTCATGCGACACAACCTTCTCATTCTGCCCCTTAACTGCAGAAAAATCTGAAAATGCTGGCAGACATAAAACAAATGGCTTTAAGTTTCTATTTACTCCACATAGAAGTAGGAAGCTGAAGTGAGGGAAAGCCAGAGGGAATATTTAAGAAAAGCTGTTTTACATAAGTTAAAACCCAAAAGCTAGTGATTTTTATGTATCCAATAAAAATGAAGCTCCTTTCAGGGGACTGAAGTGCATCTGCAAGCAGGCGCAGGGGCAGGGGCTTCGATCCCTGAGCTTGCCGTACTGGTCCTGCCCCCAGGCCCACTGAGCAGGTGATTGAGACTGGGCGTGATGGCATGTAGCTGTAATCCCAGCACTTGGGAGGCTGTAAACAGGAGAATCACTATGAGTCTGATGTAGTAGTGAGACCCTGAACACCCTGTAGACCCTTCCCTAAACTATAGAAAAAAACAATGTAACTCCTTTACATAGCCATAGAAATATAGCTAGTTCACTTCAGTTCTCTCAGATTTCTATTTGGAGCTCTGAGATAAGATCTAGAAAAATCTGAATTTTAAATATCCCTCCAAGGTGACACTGCTGTCACCTTTCCATAGCTCTCAGATTTGAGGACTATTTCACTATGTGCTAAAAACATACTTGGAGTGTAGGGAGCACATTAGAGGTTGGCTTTGAGGGTGAAGAATACAGTGAATAAAAATAGTTGACTCCCCCAACCCTATCGCATCTATTTTTCCCATGTAGAAAAATCTATAAAGCCCACCACTGGAAGAGGTCCAGTAGGGAAGCAAATCACAAAAAGCACTGCATGCCACAGAATATACATGTTCTTGATTTCATAAGTTCATGGAAGGAAAGTAAGAGAAATTAAGTACTCACGTTGGCTTGGATGATGACAAAGTACTGAGTCTTATCTTCATAGTTGAGCCTCTTCCTGAGCACCACATTTCCGGTCAACATGAGGGGAATTTCGAAGGTGTCATTCGATGTCTGCAAGTGTTAAACATGGAAGCGTCAGGAGCTTGAAATTCAATTTAAGATCGTTGAAAATATATCATTTACAAAACTGGGTGTCATTGTTTATTCCTCTTGAAAATTACAATTGGCATACCACTCATCTGAAAACAGAACGTTAGGATACACTTCCAATGCCATATTCATGTCATTTTGCAAAGCTTCCTATTTTGATCAATGGGTTTTCTTAGAGTCCTTCGATAATATTCATTAGTTGTATAATTTCTTTTGCTTTTGTTTTGCATATATTATTAGTCCAGGAATCTAAACATCTTCTGTTAGCATATTACCTGTTCAAATTTGTTTCATCATCAAAGAATTCAAACACTGAAATGTATTTCAGTATTGGTGCTTTTTCTATTTTAAATATTTTAGATTTTTTATATATAAATATGAACTTGAAACTCTGTGTTATTTTAAAATACCTGTTAAAGTTAAGTTTTTCTGACTTCAAATCTGCTGATCCTTAAAAAAAAATCTGCTATCCTGTCAAAGATTTAGTTTCTTCTTAGAAAAGGTAAACTCCAAAGAGCCTTCTAGCCCTCCTGCTTTGTTGAAATTAACCCTCAGTGCAAGAGTACTTGCACTTCGAATATTATGTCAAAGATCAGTGTGTTATCTGCATAAAAGAGATTACCAAAAAATAATTTCAAAAAAAGTTTACTGCAGTTTTGTATTTTAGCACCACTGTGAAAATTGGTAAAATACTATCACAACTACAGAAAATGAGTTTTATTGCAGGAACTGGAACACTTTTTTTCTTTTTTCAGTAGGTGTGTGTGTGTGTGTGTGTGTGTGTGTGTGTAGCTATTAGAGTGTGTGGAAATGACATCATATTGCTCCAAAAAGAGAAGAAGGAGGAGCAAGAAGAGGAGGAGGAGGAGAGAACAGGAAGAAAGTAGGGAGTGTGCACACCTCCCATATCCGTGTGGATAAATTCCTGAGTGCTGGAAAGTGAGATTCAGTGAAGAAATAGCTGATGCAAATCCCCGTGTCTCCCTAAGTAAAGGAATATGACACTGTAGATGTAAATTAACCTTTTATGTGTACAGCTGTGAGATCTCTCTGTGTGTCTCTCACATATGCTGTGTCTTGTTGGTATGTATTCTTTGTTGAGTCTTCTCTCACGTAATCACATTCACAAATTTTGTTGGATACAGTCATTTAAAAGATATAAGTTCAAATACTAATAACCCCACCCAAGCAACAAAATAAATATTTACATTTTTTTGTACCAGGAATCAAAATCAGGATCTTGAGCCTGTCAGGCAGGTGCCATGCCACTGAGCTACAACTCTAGCCCCTAATATTTGTAATTGTTATTAATGATTTTTATGAAACATTTGTGGAATTACTGTGAACATCAAAATTAGTAGCAATGTTGTTGCTCTTCATATCACACTCAATGAAACTCAAACTTATTAGCTACATCTTTTATATATATATGAGATTTTAATTTTAGGTGTTTCATGAATACTTGTATTTCTGAAAACAAAGAAACATATATGGCTTATGGTCAATGTTGTTTCTAACAATAGGATAAATTCTGTATTAAAATTAACTAGTCTATTGACAAAACAAGTACTTCTCAGTGCTTTTCTCTAAAACTAATTGAATAATCAAAAACTAGAGGTCCAATGTATAGATTTTGAATATGCTTATTTTTAACCTCTAGAAAAAAGAACACTGGATTACATAAGCAATAAGTAAGCCTCTGGTATAGCATCCTTGGAAAAAGGAAACAAAACAACCCTAGAGAACACCTGAAGGGCTTCTTGTACTTTCCCAAGACCCTGATGAAGCAAGCCAAGGGTGTGCTGTAAGCTGGTGAGAAGGTGGGATGTTCAGGGAAATACCAGCTGAGGGACACTGGGAGCTGGGAAAGCCGCTTTGGTTCATGGGAAGTACACTATTGCCCAGCAATAAGTCAACTGATGATAAAATAAGGATCAGCCACTGGAAGAAAAAACACATACCACATTCTATGGCTACCACATAGATTTTTACCCCCCCCCCCAATAATGTAGCATGGAACAAAGCACAGCAGAGTGCTTTAATGCACAGCCAACCAACCACTACAGAACACGTGGCACTCTCTTGGGTTACTTCCTTGTCCAGACACAATTTCTTAGTGGGTCAGAGACCTGGCAGCTGTCGGGCAAGCAGAGCTCCTCTATTTAGTGAAATCAGGCTAAGGGATGAGGCTAAAACGTGGTAAGTAATCTCATCACTTCTCAAAAGACAGGAAGATGTAGGAGGAACAGGTGGAACACTTGCCCCCCATACAGGAATAAAAGTGAAAAAGACAATGATGATGCTGACACTGTAGAAACTGTTTCCCTAGAGACAATCTCATGTTCCCATAAACCTCCTTTATCAGTATGTATAAAGTTTAGTCATGCCAGTTTGGAAATAATGACAAGTATCTGCTGGCCATACAAGGTTTTGCAGTTCACAGTTACAGATGTTTTGGAATTAAAATAAGACACGATTGGCCTCTGCTCTCCGCTGAGAGCTCTTGTCATTCATAACTTTCTAGAGCAAAGAAGAGACTCTGATTATCTCATCAATCTGTGCTATATCCATAAATATTGTTTGTGACAGTTCGTGATGGTCTCCCTTCAACTCTAAAGACTTGAATTTCTGTGGAAAAGAAACCACTTATAGACTGATAGAGGCATGTAGGGCACGCACACACTTTCTGCTAATCTACAGGGAGAGCAAAGGTCCAAATCTGTCTGACTGGGTTTGTCACTGTTAAGAGGACGGAAAGTCTCCTCTTTGTCTCTCAGTGCTGTAAGTTCTCTTAACATTGTTTTTCTCCACCTCTTGCCCTCTTCTGCAGTCTTTTCCTCACTCACTCTTTCCCTATCTCTCTGCTTCATTCCATGGTTTCTTCATTTGCTTACTGTGGGCATGAGTATAATTTTATCTCTTAGTTGCAATAACTGGATCAACATTGCCCTAATCAATCTCTATTCAGCATTTTCTTTTCAAATTATAAAATTCAGTTTTACTAGCTTAACAAACAACTGAAGTGGACATGTAGTAATCCCACCACTGAGAGATTGAGGCAGGAGGATTACAAGTTTGAGTCCAGCAATTTAGTAAAACTTTGTCTCAAAAAACACAAAAGGCTGGCTATGTACCTCAGAGCAAAGGCCATGAGTTCAATCCCCACTCCACAAAGCAGATCACAACAAAACACCAACTAGATTTGTGTGGTGATACATGTCTATAATCTCAGTACTCAGGAGGCTGGGGCAGAATGATTGAAAGTTTGAGCTCCAGCCTGGGCAATTTAGTGATTGAGCAGGATCCTGTCTGCACAACAATAGAAACAAATTAGAAAAGAATTGGGGATGTAGTTCAGTGCAAGTTTCTGGGTTTAATCCCCGTACTATACTCTATATGCACACATCCATGTACCGGCTTCTTGGGAAAATGAAAGCTTATTTAAAAATTAGTGTATGTTTGCAATACATGATAGTTACATTGGCTCTGAGGAATTAGTGCACATACTTGTATATATAAGTATATTGTGCCATGGTCATTTTTGATCACTTTACTCCCTCCTTCATTACCCCCCTCCCTTGCCTCTATTCAGTTTTTCAAAACTGTCTGATTAAGCCAGGCTATCATGCTATCAGTGGCAGATCTATGGCTTGGTGTTGTTGGGAGGGAGTTCCTCCCTCTCTAATTATCAGAAACAAACAAGAGTACCTGATCCTTGCCCAGCCATCTGGGCCTGGAAGATGAGCAGGCAGCATCAACATGCCCTTACCTGAAAGAACTAATGCTCATTATTCATATTGTTTCATTTAAATCTATCCATTATCCACAACATCAACACAAAAACACTAACATTTAAGGAGGTATTACATATTATACTAATTAAAATTTGCTAAAATAATCTGAAGTAGGGGCTGGGGAGATGGCTCAGTGGAATAAATACTTCCCTGGCAAGCGCAAGGATATGAGTTCAAACCCCGGTTCCGCAAAAAACAAAAACAAAAAAACAAAAATAAAATAATCTGAAATAAGACAGTTGAATTTAAGAGGGGAGAAAATAATAATAAAGTAGAATATAAACAAGGGCATTCATATGCTTAAAAATTTTTAAGAGAAACTGACTTCACGACCCAAACTTTACTCAAAACTTTTTCACTTCCTGAAATTGTCACAAAAGAGAACAAGTGAGAGCAAGCGCTCCAGGAGAGAGTGAGGGCAGGGGGAACAGGAGGAAGAGAGAGAGGGAGACAGAGGAACGAAAAGAAAAGAAGAAATCCTAAGAGTCCTACAGACACAATAATCCTGTAAGCTGGACTGTGGTCCTGTGCTTTTTACGGTCAGTTGTGCTTCTTCCTGCTGACCTTCATCCTAGAAAAGGGAGCCGTCACGTGGCCAGTGGATCCCATTTTCAAACATAGCTGGATGTTTTTTATTCTAACATAACCTGCTAGAAGGGTAACCTGACAGACAACTGAAATACCCACTCATATCCATGACATAGACCACCCATCTAGAGGACCCCCTAGGACCACAAAAATCTACCCCAGGCTGCCCTACCCTGCTTGACACTGCTAGGACAGACAAGCCCACAATTTCCCCTTTACCACACTAGATCAAAACTCTTAAAATGCTCCATAATCATCACTGTCTGGTATTTAAAAAAAAAGCTAAGATAAGTGAGATGATAATGTCTTATATGAATGATCAGATCAATGTTGACATCCATGAGTTTTATGCATTTATTTTTAAAATCATTAAAAATGACTTTATTTATTTTTAAAATAATTTTATTGAGAAACAAATAGCAATGAGAGTTTCAAAACTGATTAGTAGGACAGTTGCAATAATTAACACATTGCACATTGTTTTAGTGGTTATTCATTGTACAAGATGCAGACATGATATCCTGTCCACAAACACTATTAGAACAAATTATTCTATTCATTGAATTAAGAGAAAGTAGC